TATATATATATATATATATATATATATATATATATATAATATCTCCTTTATATATATAAATCTTTTACCAGTATCATTGGTGTCATTATAAAAAATAAAAAAAAAACATTGAATATCAATATTTGATTCCAGTTTTATATTGACATCACATTTTCTCCTCGGCCCTATTTGATGATTATACAAATGTCATATTCTTGAATAATAAGACTTTTATGCAAAATATAAAATTAAGATTTTGCTTTCTCTAGCTACCTATTATGGGGAATGTATTCTAGTTGGTCAATTTTAAAGAATTGATGTCTGATATATGTACTGGAAAATGCTTACTGTATAAATCCCTTTTTGCCATAAAATTATTCTTGTCTGGAATTGAATGCATTGTATATAATACACAACTATATATTTTTGTCAACTTCAATATTATTGATGGAGTTAAGATTAAAGAGATTTAGTATGATGCTGTTATCATGAACCAGTTTTTTCTTTCATTAGTCTCTTATACAGTTGTTTTTTGTGTCACATTTCACATGAACATAAATATTTATTGCAAGATATTAAAAGCTGTTTAATAATTGTCCAATGTCTTTCATCTACTATCATCTTTGTAATTGGTCATATCAAAGTTAAAAATTATAAACCTAATAAAATTTGTACCAATCATTATTAATTATACTGACATATTAAAGTAGAAATGTTAGTCTAATTTTATATTTCTCTGAGCTATCCTTATAACATGCATTGTCTTAAAAACTGATTGAATTTTTTAGTTTTGATAACTTCAGCACAACAAGGAGCTATTAGTCCTCTTGTATTTACATGTGCTTATTATGGTGAAGTTAATAACAGTTGACTTTTTAATTACTTGAAGGAGAAAAAGAATGAAAACTCATTTTACCACGACTATAATGATGTAAACAAACTTATGCAATCAAGTAACCAGTATCATTTCAGTCATTTGTAAGATTCATTTATACAAATGTTAATGTCACAAATGTACAAATTATGAAAATTTATACTGTTCACAAGACTAAAAATAAATCAAATACCAAAAACGAGTGATAAGTTCAAATCTTATTGCAGGTTACTTTTATTTAAAATCTGTGTAAAAATACTGTCAATAACCTGATAGTTGCAATAATTTTCCAAGCATGAGGCTATGAAACAAAATCTTTTGGTTTGGGTCTTTTGAAATTGTTTTTAGTTTTATTTAATAAGGTCAAGGTCACTAAACTTAGAATTTCGAGTCTCTTCAGTGCATAAGGATTAAAAAAAAATTAACTGGTTATAAAATAAAAAATTGAACTGTTAATTTATAAAGATTTTATTCACAGACTTCAGAACTTTTACTACTGTTGATTTTAAAACTATTATCTGTAATCTTGTTTGCACCAACTTTTGTGACATTAATGTTATATTATCATAGATATATTAAGTCATTACTAAAATAGTTGCAATATTGTAGTTGGCATGTTCATTGCTCTTCAAAGACTTGAGGGCATTAACCTATTGTACTTGAAAAGAAATTAAGTTTTATTTTTTTATTTTCTAGTTAGTTACATAAATTGGCCTTGACCAGTTTATCTCCTTTGAACTTCATCCGTTCTTTTTTTTTTTTTTTTTTTTTTTATATTTTTTTTCTTGGACATATTCTCAATCCAAATAATCTGTTAAGAAATGTATTCTCCAGAAAAATAACTGAAGAATGGGTAAGGTTGGAAGCAGAGAGAGATTGATTAGCATGTGTCTGCTTGTCTGTTTCAATCATATGCAGTTTTTTTTTTAATTTGCTAAAATGTTGCCTGTTTTGGTTTGAAACTTACTTGGAGTTAAAATGTATAGTTCTTATCTCTTAGTATTTGTAATCAATTTTACAAGTGCTAAATTGTGTTTTTAAAAAAAAAAATGGAAAGCTTTTCTTTTCAATTTGAATTTTGGGGAAACAGATCGAAGCTCAGTTTTTATTGCCTACAGCATAATAAGCCTGTCTCAATTACTTGTTTAACTATCACTCTAGATACTGATCTCCCACTTTTTTTTTCTCCTTGGTTTAAACTTTCAATATTGTTTGTCAAACTTAATGCTTTTATGAACCTTTTTGTTTTATTCTTTTAAAGAAAAAGAAAAATGTCTCTTAGAACAGAGCAGATAAGTAAAAACAATGGTTTTGAGATAACAATTATATAAATACATTTTTAAAATCTTTATCTTAGTTATTTATTTTTAATATTCAGTGCTTGTTGTAAAAATTAGTTCATAATTCATTCTCTTTTTATTGCAGACACAACTTCAATTGCACCACACTTGATCATGAAAAAGAAATTCTGATGCCCTTCAAAAGGGATTATTTATCTCTTTTCCTGTGTGAGTATATGTTTAAACTGTGCCATATTGCCCAATATTACTTCCTTATATCTTACACAAAAGTATTCTGATTAATTCTGCATACATTTTTGTATAAGAGGTTGCATCAGCCTATGTACACCTGTGATGAATATTGGGAATATATTTTATGTTCAGATTGAATCCTTACTTAATATAGAACCTTTAAATTTAACTTTTAAATCAGTTTTAAGGTTTACTAATATTGATAAGAATTGCAATCTTGAAGACTATTTTAAAAATTTTTCTCAAGCAATTTAATTTGACTATTGCTTCTCATGTGCAAAACTGCTTGCTGTCAAAATGACTCTGCAAACCTATTCAATGTATTTCATTAAATGAAGCCTTGTCAACCACTATTATTTATATTATTTACTTTTAATTTGAGTTGGTTTTTATTGTACCTTTACTCAAGCTGTCATCTTGTTAGGTTTGATCTTTCGGCAAACCTTTTGATTTGTTGCAGCTGAATATTCACAAGGCTTCTATTTCTGATCTGCACTATTTGTTGCTGTAGCTCTTGACAAACTGAGTACAATTGCAATAAAAAAAATCAATTAAAATTAAGATGAAAGTATATTTTACTTAAAATTAATATTAATGGCTATTTGCAAAATATATTTCAGATTTATTTCCAAGCATGTTGTAACTAGTTTTCATACAACTTGATACACTAAATTGTCTTTCAGTGGTAGTAGTAGTAGTAATAATAATGTATCTTCATCTGTCTAAGGTACTTGGGATATTATTTCTCTGGTACAAAAAAAAAAAAGGAAAAATATTTAAAACATTCTTTTAAAACTTTGCTTATTATTGAATATCTAATGCTAATAAAAATTTTAATTTAGTAACACTCTACAAAGATCCTTTCAAGGAATTAAAGTAACAATAAACCATTTGTGATCTTTCATTTAATGCAATAAAAATCAATTCTGTTTATTATATATTCATTGATAACTTATTTTTGTATGCTTTAGTATAAGTAACTGATGCTACATGACTTTGAGTTTAACCAATCATATTCAAATGATTTTAATGACCTGATTTTTTTTTTTTTTTTTTTTTTTTAAGAGAGGGCTATAATGGCTCTCAGTCTTAGTGAAAACTGACTTTTTATACAGAAAAGTTTAATGTTTTGTATACACAATTAGAATATTAAGTTAAAAATATAATTGTTCATTTGCATTTGTGGTTTATCAGTCAACTGTACATTACACATGTAATTATTTTCTTGACTGTATTCTAAATATTCTTTTTTAAATTCATTAAATGTAACCATGTTACTTTAAATTTTCCCTTAACCTCTTTGTGTAATTACCTCTCCTTTTCATGTCAAATGCAGGTCGTCTTATTTATGTTATGCATTATAATCATGGGGGTTCTTAATCCTCTTTATGACCTGAGCTCTTCATAGATGTAAACATTTGAAGGCAGTTACCTTCTAATAAGCATTATATTTAAATTCTCATTAATTTGACTCTGTATTGTCTTGACTTAATGCTTTTTACTATTCATGGAGATAATTTATTTAGGATATTCAGTAGTTTTTGGGTGTTTTTTTTTCCACAAAAAAGATAACTGTTGAAAGATAACTTTTAAAGGCATTCTTTGTAATTAAAGTGCTTAATATAAAGAGATAGAGCATTAATAGTAATGGATAAGATTAAATGTTCATTTACTATTAATGCTTTTTTTTGACATTGAGCACTTTAATTATAAAGACTGCCTTAAAACATTCTTCCAAAAATACCTGGCTGCTATTTTCTTTTTTTTCTTTTTTTTTTTTTTTTTTTTTTTTTTTTTTTTTTTTTTTTTTTTTTTTTTTTTTTTTTTCTTTTTTTTTTTTTTTGCTAAACCCAATCTGATATGAATTGAGCTCAAATATGGGTGAGACAGATAGGTTAAGGAACATTTCCTATTTGTTCCTTATCCTATCCTATCCTGTCATATAAGGTTTGAGCATATTGGCCTTGTTCAGACTGTTGATCATGCCAGATTCTCTTCCAGTAACTGTAATTACGGTCTGCTCATTATAGTAGCAGTATAATCTACGGGTGGGTTCTGAAGGTATTGAACAAGCACAAATGTGCCTGAGCAGGCATCTGAAACCAAGTATAGCTTGTCTAAAAGTATAGCAACCAAATACCTAATCTATTTTCATTTTAATTTTCAGATTCCTGCTGTGCTGGCTTTAGCTCCTACCTCATGCTTCCTTCTACTGACTTTCTGAAGAGAAGCTTCACCCAAGAAAACATTCAGCACTTGGATTGTTGACCACACACACCTTGACACACTTAAACAAACCCTTGAACAATGGTTCAGGCACCTCTTCTGGATATAGTCCTATTTAGTAGCCAACAGTATTGAAAGCCTCACCTGTGCTTCATTAGTTCTCCCAGCATTGCTGTGGCTCTGGTTCTACAAAAGCAATCAGTCCATTCCTGCCTAACAAACAAAACAACTCATTCACTCATGCCTTTTTATATAGTCATCCATAATTGGGAAGTTGCTTTTCGAAGGCAGTCATCATAGAATTTTTCTTGTCTTTCATCATTTTGCTCCAATTTTTCAAGAATCCTCTTCCCTTTTCTTCTCGTTGCTAGTGTTCTGAACCTTGACACATGATGGCCAATCCCCGTCCCATTGAGGAGGACAAGCAGCATGAATTGATGAAAGATGTTGATGGTGAAGCCAGTTGTAGCAAGTCACAACTTCCTTTGGGCAGGAATGCAAGCAGCAGCAGTTGTCTCCCTTCACAGTTACGATTGAGCGATTCTCTTGCTGTCAATGTTAATCCAGAGCCATCAGCATCTTCACACCACTCTAGTTCTCCTGGAATTGTACTACATCGTGAACAGGCTACCTCTTACTTGTATGACTGTTTCTCTGGTCCTATAGTGAGACCAGGGTTCAGTCAAAACATTTTAGATATTACTACCCATCATGCCTCTAGCAGTAAGGACAATCACAGAAAAGACGGCAGCCTGGCAAAAAATCATCACACATTTTATGAGAAACTTGAAGGTATTGATCATTCTAAACGAAAATCTTCCCTTTTGTCGTCTTTACACTTAGATTCGTGTGAGTCTCAATCAACCAGTGCAGGGACCAGTAAAAACTGCCATAGTGACTACAATAATGAAAATCTTGCCACAATGGAAAATAGAAAAAGAATGAGTGAAAACCATGATAGCTGTCACAGACAGGGTCTTGCTGATATTCCATTCAAAAAGAGGTTATCCAATCGGCCCATTGATGTAGGAATTGTCCAGAATCCCGTTGATGTTGGTGTTCTTACACAAGGAGAGGATAACTTGATTAATATAGGGATCATGGAAAATCCAGTCAATATAGGAATTTTGAAAAATCCCAACAGTGTGGAAAACCTGGAAGGCTTTGGTTTTGACACCATTGACAAGGTATGTATAGAGGAAAACAATAATGGCCAGTCTGTTTGTGAAGAACAAGTTTCTAAGTGGGCTATATCCCGCAGCAACTGCTATAAGCCCATGAAGATGAAGCCCCCTGTGATGGGTACAGGTGGCAGTACCTCTGTAGTAAAATATTTACACGATTTGGGAAACCCCAGCTCATGCAAAAGTAACAACATAGAAAATCTGAACATTGGTGCCAAACATATCAGTATTCCCTGCAACTGGCAAATGTCTGCTGATAAACAAGACAGGCCAGGTTGTAGTCGGTACCTTGATAGACAAGAAGATTGTAATGCTCCAGAAATTCTTGGAAGCAGTTCTGACTTGCGGAAGCTCGGTCCGCCAGATCAGACTGGTTTGAGTTCAATGGTGAAAGGAGATAATACAGAGAGCATGAAAGTGGTAGAAGTTGATACTAGCCGGGGACACAACTTTCACTCGGATGAACGACCTTTGGCTAAACCAAGCAGTAGCAACAACACTTACAACCTCAAAGTCTGTCCAAGTCCAATCACCTCAGAAAGCTCGTACAACTTCTTCCAAATGGCTATGTATCCAGAGAAAGTCATCAATATAGAGGAATTCCTGGGCGTCTCTGACATCCTTATTACAGGAAATGATGATGCAGGCAAAAAGAAGAAAATGAGCAATATAGTCCCTACCATTCCAACAGACAATAACAGTGGTAGCAGTTGTAGTAATGCTATTGACCCAAGTGGCAGTAGCTCATTGAGTTCTGGTGTTAGTATGAATTTAAACAGTATGGTTGGCCCGAGCACAAGTGGTCGGTTTGCAAGTGTACTCAATCTGAGTTGCTACAATGAAAACCTGGACAACTATTTAAAAACGGGTAACAATGAATGCATGTCCAGTATGAATGAAGCCAGCATGGCTAGTGGAGCAGCTGGTCGTAATTCTGAGAATGTGGTCAATCTAAGCCAACATGTGGCTTGTCCCAGTGGTAGCAGCGTCACAAAAGTTGTGGTTACTTCAGCTGTGGTTGACCGGCCAGGCAGTAGTAATGTGGTGAATCCAAATGGTATCATTGCCTCTACTGGTGTCCACCATGCAGCTGGAAGTAACCACAAAGCTGTTGTTGTGAATGTCCCTAACCTTGGTGCGGAGAATGGCATTCGGGGTGTGGAAAATGGTGGTCAGAAAATTCACAATGAACAAATACCAAATCAAGCAGAGAATGATCTGGAAATGGAATTTTATGAATCTGTTATTGAACTTGAGAATGAATATAATGGAAACAACGCAAGAGAAGGCAGGGAGACCAATTTGAGTTCTTCTTTGCCTTTATCAAATGGTAATAACTTGGACACTTCAGCAACAACTGTAGCCAATGGGGGTACAGCTCTGAGTGGCTCACCAGCTGCAGAAGGAACAAATGGCATGGCTGGAGCTGCTACTCCCACTGCCTCGGATATCCTTAAATGTACCATCTGCACAAAGACTTTCAAGTATGAAAGCAATCTTCAGTCCCATTTGAGTGCACACAAACGACGTAAGTGTTACAAATGCAAACAGTGCACAAAAACATTTACATTTGAGTCGGACTACAACCAACACATTTTGACACACCACAGTGGCCTGACGTTCTTCAGCTGTGACTATTGCCAAGAACAGTTTTCCTTGGTTTCCGAACTGGAGACACATCGGGTCACGCATGATAGCAAAAGGCCCTACCAGTGTCGATACTGTGAAAAGAATTACACACGCAAGGGTGACCTAAAGAAGCATTACAGGGTGCACTCTGGGGAGAGGCCCTACCAGTGTGAAATGTGTGGAAAATCATTTGGTGCTAGCTCTGACCAACTTGCAAAGCACTTACGCATTCATCTTGACGAGAAACCATTTTCATGCAATTATTGCAACAAGACTTTCACGCACAAGGCAAATGCCGACAAGCATATGCTCTTCCATGTTGGTGAGAAACTGTTCAAGTGTACGCTTTGCACCAAGGCATTCATGCAGAAATGTGACCTGGCACGACACATGCGCACACACACTGGGGAAAAGCCACACACTTGTGAGTATTGTGGCAAGGCATTCAGTGACCAGTCGGCTTTCTCCAAACATAGACGCATACACACAGGGGAAGGTATCCTCAAGTGCTCCCATTGTGAAAAAACTTTCACCAATCCCTATAACCGTACACGACACATGCGGCTGCACACCCGCGAGCGGGCCTTCCCTTGTGACCTGTGTGACAAGATCTTCACATGCAACTACAGTGTCAAAATGCACCGCAGAATTCACACAGGAGAGAAACCACATAAATGTGATTATTGTTTCAAGACTTTTACTAGTAGCAGCAATCTCAACAAACATCTCAAAACACATCACCCTGTCAAAGCTGTGAAATATGAGTGTTGTGGCACCATGTATGCAGACCCTGCTGCATTGGATGAGCATTTTAAGTCACATGGTGCCAAACAATCTTGATTTGAATCTTTCAATTCTTTCCCTGCCATTTATGCTTTCTTTTTAATGTAGTAGCTTTTTTTCTTTTTCTATTTTTTCCTCCTCCCCACACACCTGTCTTCATCTTGTGCAGCAAGGTTATACTTTTTTTATTTTCCTTTTCTCTCTACTCCTAGACAGTTTAAATCTATAAATAAGGACTTTTTTTTTTTTTTTTTTTTTTTTCAGTACCTTTCTTTATTCTACAACTTATTTCTGGTTTATTTATTCATAATTTTTTTAATTATGTTTAGTCTCCCCCCCTCTCCATTCCTTCATATTTTTTTTTCTGTCTGCCATCTTCCATCATTTTTTTTTATTTTTTTTCTTTCTCTCTCTCTCTCTCTACTTTATAAAATGTGTGTGACCAGAACAGGGACTTGATAATTTTTCCCCCTTCATATACATATATATAATATTAATATTATTAATAATAATAATAATAATGATGATGATGATAATAACAAAAAATTTTTAAAATAAACAAGGACCATGGAGACATCTGACTAATTATTTTAAGATGTCTTTTGCAAAGAATTTGAAAGAAAATTCTTTTAATTTAAATTTTTTTTTTTTAATACAACCTTAAAAACTTTTAGTACTTATTTCTGAAAAAAAAAAAAAAAATTCTAAAAATTTGAAAAAAAAATATCATAAAATTTAAAAAAAAAAAAAATTAATGTATACACCAGAAAATTTTACAAGATTTTAAGATCACCAAAGAAATGTTTTAAGTTAATATCTGCATCTCACTTGGAAGGAAAGAAGAAAAAAAAAAAAACTATTAAAAAAATATGAAACATTCTCATTTGTGTTTCAATAATATATATGAAAAAAAATCAGAATTTTTATATATATATATATATATATATAAAACAAAATGGAGAGAAAAATTCACATTATGGTTGATGGTATATTGTTTTGGGTGGATTTTGCAATTTGATTATCCACACTGCAATGGTAATACTGTGTACAAATGTTTGTGTGATGAGTAGTTTAAATATGTTTGGATTCTACTAAGGTTTCAGAGTTATTCTTTGACCATAATTCTCATTTCTCTCTTCTTTTTTTTTTCTTTTTTTTTTTTTTAATTTTATTATTATCATTATTATTATTATTGAATTTTTTTTTCTGACTGAATAATTTTCAATATGTTGCATTAAAAAACTTTGCTACTCAAGATAAAATATGGAGCCAAAATTGGGTTCATGATTTAATTTTGTTGTTATTATTCATATTTTAACTTAAGATTGAATCATTTAAGTGATAAAAACAAAAAGCTGATTAATATTTTGTTTTAATTTCTCTAGGGTTTGGGTTGATAGTTAAGTAATGTTCTAATTCTTTCAGATAGTTCTGCACTAATGTAAATGAATGAATACGGCAACTTAATATTGTTTTGCCTCTGAGTTGCTATTGGAATGGACTGTCACCAAAATTGTGAATTAAATCACAAATTTTTTCTTAAATAGGAAATTATTTTTCCCTTGTGCTAATTCATTTCTCTCTCTCTCTCTCTCTCCATAAAACAAATTGAATTTGGGGCTCTATAGGCTTTAATTAAGACTACACTGATCAGAAAGATAACTTGTCACTTAGTGACAAATCAGTATCATTTTTTTTTTTTTTTTTTTCCTTTATGAAAATATAACCTTCAACAGCTAATACTACTAAAAACAAATCCATCCTCAAGTAGTATTAACTGAAATCCAGTGAGTTTTCTCACTAGACTCTCAAACTGCTTCATTTCAACCTCTTCCAATCATTTAAAGCACTTGAACACTTTAATAAGTGTTGTCTGCAACCTGTTATTACCTGTGTTAAAATATGTATTTTATATACATAGAGACACACAAAAATGATGATATATCTATCATCTTGTGACACATTGATATATTTCTTTGTAAATAATCAAGGAGAAAAATTTGAACCAAAAGATGTGATCCCACATTTCAGCACAAAATCAGGGATTTCAGTAGTTGTGCTGAATGATAGGGAATTTTTTTTTTCCTTTTATAACAAATTTCATATTTTCTTTTTTCTTTCAAATTCTCTCTGTCTCTCTCTATATATATATATATATATATATATATATATATATATATATATATATATATATATATATATATATATTGCTTAGGTTTTGTTTAATAGCCCAGGCCTCACCTACACCCTAAACTTTCAGGAGTGGGTATTGAACACATTTGCGATGATCACACCCACTTTTTATTCGACAGGATGTGTAATGTGGCTCAATTTGTACCCTCCCCATCTTTGTAAAAAAATTTTTTTTTTTTTTTTGTCTTGGCTCATGCAATACTTTACTGTCTGCTGCCATCCTTCATGAATGATTCAGTGTAGGGTTCATGCCTTTATAAAAGCTCCATCTTTATTTGTTTGCTGCAAACACAAAGTAAAAAGTTTATTTTTATTGTTTTTTTTTTTCCCCCTTATTTATTTACACTTTCCCCTTTTCATTCCAGTCTTCTTCCCTTACTGTACCTGCTCAACATAGCTCTGAATGAGAGAGATATTTTAATTGGAGATATATATATATATATATATATATCCATACATACCTGCATATACACACACACACATATATATATGCACACACCTCTATCTCTTGTTATAACAGAATCCACTTATGGCTGGCACATATTGATTGGCTTTTGATAAAGGGGAAAAGAAAAGAACAAATCTGGAAAAGTTTTTATAACTAGAATAAAATAACAAGAACAATATTCTGCTCTCCCCCCTCCTGTTCTTGATTCAGCCCATTTTAAATGCCTCAGAAAAATGAACAAATTTGCATGTGTCTGCTGTCAGTACCATCTTGTGATGGAAGCTGCACATCAACCAATGTGGCACTGGTCCCCCTGCAGGTCTGACCTATCCCGTTCCCCTTACCCATTACCAATGTCTTGTGTTGTTGCCTGTCTGCTCATTTACACTACAGTCTACATTGGGTCAACAACACTCAAGCTTTGCTCATGGTACCCTTTTTTTTTTTTTTTTTTTTTTTCTTTTTTTTTTTTTCCTCTTTTCTTTTTTTTTTTTCTCTCTCTCTCTCTCTCTCTCTCTCTCCTGCCCACTCCTTTATATCCCATTATTTCACACAAGTACAAAAAAAAAAAAAATAAACAGCAAAAAAAAAAAAAAAAAAAAAAAAAAAAAATGTGATGTTTCATGTAACACAAATGTTAAACTAAAAGATTTAAAAAAAAAAATACAAAAGTTATTTTGTGACAATTCTCTTTTGAGAACAAAAAAACGTGACTATATATCTAAATAAATAATAAATAATTACTAAACATTTGTCCTTGAATTCTATGTCTAAACTTGCATTTTGTTTTTCATGTGTGTGGATGTGTTTTGTGTGTCAATCACTCCTGCTTTTCTTGGTTCTTTTTAGAATCATTTACTTCTGAGTTTTTTTTGTTTTTTTTTTTTCCCTATCTTTTCCAGTTTTTAAAATTTATCAACATACACACAAAAAAAAGCTAGGGTTGTCGAAAGCTTCTTTGCCTAAGTAAGAGGCCCTTCAAAAAAAATTAATTTGGTCAGCTGATAGGGTTATTTCTCCATGGATTGGCATTTCTGGCTAAGATTTGTGTATGTGTAGTCATATAAATAATACATTTTAATAAATAAATAAAAATGGGCTGTTTATTTCAAATACAAAGTATTCACTACAATAAATGAATTTTTATATATATATACACACACTTTGCACAGACATTAGACATGTACATTTTAAACAAGTTATTTGTCAATGTATTTAATCACATAAATCAAGCACTTATACCATTAAAATTTCAGATCAAAATACATTTGATGATTTCATGTCAGCTTATGGGGCTTGTTTTTTTTTTTTTTTGTTTACATTTCATGACTGGCTACTTGATTTTATTTATTGTATACATGCACAAAAAGAATGCAATCATACCATACATCTCAAACTATATTTTATTAATATACATGGCTAGATTATCAAATATATATATATATATATATATATATATATATATATATATATATTATATATATATATATAGTTACATTTTATATCAGTCTCTGGCTTTTCTAGTTTGAAGACATTATCGGAGGAAAAGTATGACACGGTGAAAAACTTTTCTTTTGGCACATTTCATCCTTTAGGGTTTCATCAGGACAAATTTGTTATGTTGGTGGTATGCATGGAATTTTAAATTTTAATCCCAAGGTCATCCACAGCAAATTTGTGACCTGGCTCATACTGTGATACCATTTGTTATTACTGCAGTAAAATAAAACCTTAGAAAGTTTTTTTTTTTTTTTTTTTTTTTTTTGTCAATAGAAAGTTGTGTTGAGAGACACAAAGATTAATACCAAAACCTGTGAGAAGAATTGAGGGTTTAATTCATATATAAACAACTTTTAGTTGTATGTAGTTTGAACAATGGGAAAGTGTCTCAGACTTAGGGGGCAATATTGATTGGCACACAGCTGCTAATGCAAACTGTAAAGCAGAAATTTCATTTTTCATAAACACTGAATTTGGAGTTGATTCCCCTGGTCAAAAGTTGAGTTGAAATACCATGAGTGGGTAGGTAAGCTACCCTGTGCTTGCTGAGATTTAGTGAGAGGTAATATGAGAGTGGAAGAAGGGAATTCTCCAGAATTATGAAGTAAGTTGACAACAAAGGGGATTTACTGAAATACCCCTATGTCATGCCTCATGTCAGTTCTAGTGAATGTCAATAAATATGAATGCACAAAGCAAATTTGTCAGACAGACAGGAGAGAGGCCCACATGATAATCTGCTGATGAAAACCTCCAACTTCAGCCTTGTGCCAAACTTTGCCAAGTCAACAACTATAGTATCACTTCTGATTTAGATGCAGGTCAGACTGACAATTATTGCATGTGAACTCTTGATATATCCAATTATTGTACGAAAGACTGATATAAACAGTATTTACTTTTTGTTCAATTTGAGTGTTATTTTTTTTTTCCTGTATGTTATCACCCTTCTTGGACCAGCCCAACATGAAGATACCTGCAACAATTCGATTTTAGCTGCCTTATGATCAAACTTAAATTACAATGTGGGATTAAAGTGGTCACTTGAGCAATCAGCCACAGCGTTGGAAGTCTTGAACAATCAGCTA